TTTTCCCTTCCCCTTCCCCCCCCCCCCCCCCCCCCCCCCCGCCCAAAAGTGAAATACCACTGAGAACAATGGGAAAAACAAGATTGCATCAAAACGTTTATTCTGTGTTCCTGAACAATTAAAGTTAGAAATCAGAAAAAAAATTCAACAATTGAGGAAGTTGAGTTTTTGTACGACAACAAATTAATTGAATGACTGACTGACTGACTTACCGACTAAACTGACTAACTGTTTTGACCGCCCAACAAACTAACTCAATGTCAATGCTATTCAATCAGTTATATCAACAAAAAGTCAATGAATACTTTGCTGGTGAAGAATTAGATCAAAACAAAAACTGAGAAATTTAAAAAATCAGCATAAAAAGCCTAAAATTTGATAACACCAATCAGTAGTCACTGTTGTCATAATTAAAGCATCAAAAAAGTTACAATAATCTGTTAGAGCAAAAATAAAGAAAACAAATATACGAAAAAAAAAAATTAAAAAACAAGAAGAACAAACAAAACAACAAATAACTAATACCAATAAGAGATTTCTGCTTTATCTCATTTTTTGCTATAAAATAAATGTGCTGCATAAAAAGAAAAAAAAAAAACAGAGTAATAGCAGCATAGTGTTTTCAAAAAAAATCTTAGAAAACTGACTAAGATTAATCGACAATCTTAAAATACAAGTCCTTTCATTGCTGCTACTATTCTGCACCGAAAGAATGGAATGGAAAGAAATCAAAGCTAAAAAAAGAAGAAGGATAACTGAGAAGAAGCACTTGGAGAACAGTTTGCAAGAAGGAGAACAAATAAACGAAAAAAAAAGAAGGAAAACAACAGCTGCGAAGAAACTTCAACAAATTTCGTTCACATTAATCAGTCAAAAATGTAAGTTAATGTTTCAGCTCAAAAAAAAAGTGGTTTTTTTCTCATTAAAAAATTTTTTAAGATTTTTCACTTTATTTTTTTTATGTATAAAATAATAGACTATTATCTGATACATTGTTTTTTTTTGTCAACTAATCAACCGTATTCTATTTTCAATTATCTCAGTGTCATTTGAACAAAATTTTCACTATTGTCAAATACTACCGTAAATACCTATGATGACCAATACATACAGACCAACACCTTTTTTTTTTTGTTTCTCCTCTTCTCGTCTTCCTCTCCCCGCCCGGAAAATAAAGCTATTTTTCTCAAAAATATATTTGTTATCAGAATCATGAGGATAATGATGATGACGATGACCAGTCTGATACAGGATTGCTCAACAATTGTTCTTTAAAAAAGAAAAAATTTGGTAGAATGAACTAGTAGAATACTGTTCCTCAGCTTTCAAAAATCAAACTCCGTATACCCAACTATAATTGTTTCTCTGTTTTTCTTCATAAATTTTACTGTTTATCGTTTAAGTGTAGCACTATTACTGTAATAAATAAAATTTTGCAGCTGACAAAAATTTGTTGATAACGAGACAAAAATTTAATATTACTAAACTGATTGCTGTAACTTTTTATTGATGACTACTGATAACGGCAAAACTGCTGTACCACAATGGTAACACGCATAGAACAGTTACATATCTGCATCTACAGCAACTCTTCTATGCTAAGCCTCAACTTAGTAATGATCTTGGTTCTTATCCTCGTCGTAATTGTTGATTTCTTTGCTAGTTTCGTTGTCGTTGTCGTCGTCGTCGTCGTCGTCGTTGCTGATGCACTGTTCAGGCATCGTTGTCGTCGTTGTCGAGGTTTGTTTATTTTCACCAAACTTTTACAGTTTTCAAGCAGTCATCGTCGCCGCTAAAACCACTGTAATATACCACAATCAAAGCAGAATTTGACCTTCTAAACAGCTGTTGGAATCTGACTGTACGCACGGGTATATCTATTCTTTCCTTGCAGAAGAAAAAAATAAATAAATAAAAGCAAAAATTTTTAAAGTTAAACTAGAAATAAAGCAGTTAAAAGAAATTGTTCAGTTAAAAATGTATTTTAAAAAGC